AATATAAAGATATATAGGAAAAAGACACGGATAGTCCACAGGCCATAAAACACAAAGAAAAGGAGGATATGGAGCAGTGTACCTGTATGAATGAACAAAACATCCATTCATAATCAGGCATGTATTCTTCACTGCTCATAAAGTGAGTTGCTGTCCCAAATTTTTGGCTAGTGAAACCACCTGATTCACTATTTCCGTTAACTACGTGCCAGCTGGGCCCACTACATCATCGCAATGATAGTGTATAGGTACAACTGCATATGTGGTATTTATTGTGAATCGAAACCGGTTTTGTTTTCATATCAGCATGCGGTGTCTACTCCATCTCTGCTACACGCTACGGCATCATAATTTGATGCATAAGTATCTGCTAAGAAGTTTTAATTGCTGATCAATGAAATTAGCAGAAGCGTCCTGGCGAAGTGGCAGGGAATTGGTTGTGCTTCATGATCATGTATAGGAAGTGCTTCCTGTTTCACCTGGAGTTCTTTACGCAGAGAGTACGGCAACCCTTTGCTTTCTTAGCTGATGTAAATAAATCATTTGAGCAAGTGCAATTACTAGGGAGAATCCAACAATATGCAGGCAGGAAGGCACACACGAATTTTCTATGTGAGACATGTTTTAGAGGAAATGTATAGTGAACAGAGAACATGAAAATTCATCCGGAAATGCACTCTTACTGAGAAGTATGCTTCCGTTTTTTTTTCGGTGTTCTATAGCGTAAGCTTTCATGAGATCAGAACGAGGGTGGCGTGCACTCTAGTTGTCTGTGCCTCCAACGCCGGCGTCTGCAACCTATTACGCATAAAATCACACAAAAAAACTTTCTTGGCACAAAAGTAACACTAAGAGGTTTCTAGACCGCTATTTTAACAATCAACGTCGACTTAAGAGTTGAGATGGAATAAAAAAAAGAACACGATGGGATTCGAACCCACGTTCCCAGGGAGCCAGCCCAGTATTCTACCACAGAGCCGCTCCGTCGCTTTTTTTTCTTTAATGAATGAAATAATCACCAGTAAAGTGCACACAACACAGTTCATCAGAAGTCAGGCAAACACACACAAGAGCCAAGAATGGGAAGAAACTCTGGAACGGGGTCAAAAGTCTCAACAACACTGCGCACTTCAGCAGCTGCTTCTCGGAAGACAAATCTCGTTGACCATGGTGGCTCGGCGTGTCTTTCAATCATGCGACTTTTGCATAGTGAATAAAGTCCCAAGAACATCAGCAGGTCATAAGGAGTATTATCGAAGGAACCTAATACCATGAGCTGTGATTGGAAGTTCTTTTTTAATGCTCTTTTTAGAATGTCCCGAAAATAAAGAGCGTCACGACAATGAATAAAACAATGCTATATAGTCTAGGTTGGTTGCAGAGTCTACAATTCACTTTCCAGGGTACGTATATTGATTTTTCATTCAGCCACGTTTTCACTGGCAGCATGCAAATGTGCAGTTTAAAAAAATTGTTTTTGCTGAAGGAGATATCTACATCTACGAAATAATACATCTCGACCAGGGAAAACCGAATATGGCTTTCGATAAACAGGTTCGGGGAAAAGGTTATTCACATGTGTCGCTTTTGAACTCGGCTGCAAACTGGCCTAGGCAGGCTTGATGTCGGGAAAGGATTAGCGTTATTGTGAATAATGAAACGTTTTAGAAAAACAAAAGAACAACCAGGCGCCGCACAAAGCGAATTGAGTGAGAAGTGGATCGTCGACTACTCCAATCGATTCATTACAAAACCTTCAGGCACACTTCCTCATCGTCGCCAGCCACAGCATGAGAAATTGCACAAAATTCCTTGAAAGTGTTCAGCGGGTAGCACGCTTTCCCGAAGAATGCTGAAGGGTGGGACAGTGAATGCCTCTCTACTGAACAAAAATTATCATGTATGGCATAGTGGGTACCCTGCAAGTGTGCTAGTAGCAGTTACCCAAAGACAGTTTTTAGAAGAAAAAAAAAGGCTCTGAAAGGCCACTCTTCCAGCTTTCGCTGTGACTCTTTTGCGCGTTCCGCGAGGCCTGGCGTTTTTTTTATATTTCAAATAAAGGCAGTGCTTTTTTAGTTTACTTTTCGGAAATCTGGTGTTTGTCGAGTTTATTTCCCGTAAATCTGCAATTTTTTTAATTTCAATGTGTAATTTTTTGTACAACTTGTTGCGATGAGACCTTCTTACATTTATTTTCAATGAATCTGCTTTGCATTGTTGCTGATAATCCTGTTTCTCCTTCCTTTTACTTCTTGTTCTCTAGCCCGTTAATTAAGCTGTTCAATTGCGCACTGTAGGCTCCCTGAAGTATATGGGGTAAGGGAAAGGCAGGAGCCGTTCAAATGACTTCTCAGCTCTTCTCTCAGCTTCCCTCACCTTCTAGCCAAAAATGAAATGTTATTATGCATAGTATGTTCAATACTCCGAATCTTAGGTGAAAATTATGAACCAACACTTCCACACAAAACATGCGAAGACGCCAAGTGCATTTTAGATGTCTGGTAGTTTTGAACGCTCAAACACAAATATGTACGAGTACAAATACTACTTGAATGCGAAACACCAAAGTTTGTTTGTATTACATCAAAGCTTGTTCTAGGAGTCGCAAGTATAAATTTCCAGGTTGCTGACACTCATGCACGTGCACATCTTTAACTTGCTGATTCGGAGCTTTGAAAATAACCCTTGAACGTTGAAAATTCTGCTTTAAAATCATAGCTTCCTTTATGAATCTCCATTGTAGAAGGTTTTACCGGTGCGTATTGACCTTTTTTTTTTCGGATTTACCCGAAAGCAGGGTGCTGATGACCAAGAGTTAACAGCCTCACTTCCACTCTTATTTACTAGATAGACAACAACAACAAAAAAATGCGCCGACTAATAATTAAACACCAAACTTACTTCATAATCTACTCTGGTCTGACGATGTCCTGTTAATGAACTAGCCTAAAGAAATTGTGTTTTTCCAAGAGTCCCACTCTCACAAAGCTCGAACTACTACTGTACAACATGTATTTATGTTTCAATGCAACATGCTTCCCTCATTTATTATCCTAAGTTAAGGAAAATATACACCAATGAGAGTTCTTTCTGTTTATATTTTTATTGAATTTAAGGGCGTGACTCCTCACCTGATTCTCGCAAGGGTTCTTGCGTAATGTTTTGAGAGGTATGATAGGGGCCCTGCAATACTTTTGAGCAAGGTCAGAAAACACTGCCCATCGGTAGTAGAGGCTCCCTATAACTAACAAGCCAAATATCATAGCGCAGCACGTGACCTGTAATTGACAATAAATTAATAAAGTCAGCTAAAAATTTCTTTTATCTCAAAAATGACAGAAACGCTCAAAAATCACTCGTGGCACGCCCGCCCGTCCGCCATTGACTGATTTAAACATGGCGCGCTTATTCGTTACAGAGATCGTCGCGGGAGGCCGCGACTTGTCCACGAAAGGCGGGCGCAGAAGAAAAATAATTGATTTGTCTTTAGTTTTACATACCGAAATTTCAAAAACCTCGTGCCTGACGAGCGCAACGCTTGTATGCATGGTTTCTGTGTCGCTCGTAAAAGTAACGCCTGATAAACGGTGACTTTCAGGCATATTAGCTTGTGATATTTAAATGCACGTGAAGAAAAACGCCCAAACGATAGACGGGAAGGCATGGGAACCGTCAGCCGAACACACGCACGCACAAAAATATTTCGCCGAAGCTTCGTTCTGTACTCAAGACATTGTAATCTTGCATTTTATTGGTCATCTTGTTCTTTTTTGGCGCCGTTGTCGCTGCGATATTTACACCGAAAGGCTTCGCAAAAAAACGTACGGCTTCGAGACTAAAATATCAGAGGACTGACCTAGCTGGTAAGTATTCATTCGTTAAGACAATGCGTACAAAATGGAATAAACAAACGAAGTTGGAAAAAAAAATGTTATTCGGGCTTTATGTTGCCTTCACTTCTTTCTTTTGTCCGTGTGGTCGCGGCTATCTTTTCAAAACGTATGGAGAAATTGGAGCTTACGCTGCCTTTTTTTATCGGTCCCGCTTGCTGAAGATACCGTCAAGCAACTTATATCAGCTGGAGGCGAGTACGTGTGTGCATACCTCAGTGTGTGTGAGGGTTGAGGGGGCTGGGAGGACAATGGGCTGTAAACACACTCAAAACGAAGTATACAAGCATTTGCAAGAACATTTTTGACGCTACTTTCAAAGCTTTCGAAACCTTACTGCGGTCAAATATTCATTCAAAGATTGTCCCATCTCAAGTCCTAAGACTTTAAGACTGCTTGGGTGCTGAGTGGTGTTCATGCTTTCGTCTATTTGAAGATTTATTTGTCGCTATGTTCCTGTGGTGGGAGAATGTGCTGCAACAAGACCTCCTTTTTAAACTGTCTGATCAGAGAAACGCAGATGCATCGGTGCATAATTTAGGTTCATACGCTCACATATCTCGAAGTAAAAACCGTACATTACATGTATTTTTCCCAAAAGCTGAAGTGCCACGCTCGCGATTATGACGTATCTTGTTCTCAAGTATTGTAGGAGAACAAATTCAAAGAAAATGCTATTTGCTATTGTATTCCTGCTCCGAAAGACTTCGTCGCCGGCTCCCGAAGCTTTTCAGAGCAGCCCTCGAGACACGAAAACAGCAGCCGTAGATTCATTGGTCTCGCAGCTACTCAAGACATTCCCTACGGTGTGTCAGGTGCTTGGATATCAGGCTCCTTCTATATCCGCTGCAAACCCAAATAGATAAACGAACATACATATAGCTAACACTATGGCAATTTGCCTCGCTCTAAATAGCTTTGGCCCTACTCTAGGCGTTGATTGTTCGTATCCGTGGTATAGTATCAGTCTTCTTATCGTCCGCCTGAAAGCCCGCTGTTTTCTAGCTATTCTTCGCAGTCTAAAAACCGAAGTCCTCTGTCGGTCGATAAGCGGTTCTCGCTCTCGGTGGAGAATCGAGAAAGAGAGTTGCTTACGTGTTGCCGCGTTGAAGGCCTTGCAGTAACACCCCCCGCAGCAGCGCCGTGTTTGAGTGCAGCTGTCCGATATAAAGCGCAACAACTGACTGGCCGCAAAAGAACAAGCCATCGAAGACGATCCGTGGTCGCCAATATGCCCATAACTCTGTACAACTTGCCTGGCAGCCCGCCCTGCGGCTTTGTGCGCTGCGTTGGCAAGCATATTGGTGTCGATCTCAACCTCAAGAATTTGAACTTAGCAAACAAGGAGCACCTCAGTGAGGAATATCTCAAGGTAAGTTAGCAAGCACTTCAGGGCACGCTTTACCATATAATAGGGAGTTGTACACACTCATCTGTTAGTGCACCCAGCCCATAAGACACACCTGAGTTTTTGGAGCGAGCATTAGCCAGCTCCACCCTTGAAGATAAGCGTCAGCTAGTAGGGAGGGCTGTCGAAGTGGTGAAAGCCTATGGTTTTTTAGAGGGGTAGGCCACCCAGAAGACGACACCTAATGAATAACGAAATAAAGATATTCATTCGCTCTCTGAATATCTGCACTCCAGAATGTCTAAACGATTTGTCTTTTCAAATGTAATGTTTGCCCATCTTTAAACCTAATGAAGACAGGAAGGCACCTGTAGTTTGACCTAAATCAGAATTATACTACAGGCGACGTTTCTCAATAGTACTGACAGTGTTTTTTTTTCTTTATCAAACGGATCACGCGCGCCGCCTATTGTCCACCACCGGTGCCATCACCACCGCCTTTTCATTTGTCCATAACCGATATCACAGGAAATAAGGAAAAGCTCAGTAAATAAAAACATCAAAAAGATAATGGGATTTGAGCTCGGGTCCCTTGCGTGCCAGCCCAATATAGTACCGCAGAGCCACGCCGGTGCTTGGAACTCTAAGGCAGGCTTATTGTCGTAAAATAAATCTCGTTAATATCAGCAATAAAGTGTTATAGAACAGCAAAAGAACAAACAAGTGTAAAATTAGGTATATTGGGGAACGAGTGGGTCGTCTAATGCTCCAAGCCTCTATTGATCTTGTTTACCGATTAACAGTGGCGCACACCTATATACAGTAGGGGATTGTGGGGATCACAAAAGCTTCTTGCGTAATTCTTCACCGCCAGTCAGCCATCAGCACAATAAATTTCAAAAAGTCTGCCGCAGATACCACGCTTCTCTGAAGATGACGAAGGGTGGCGTAGTGAATAATGCCTGCCTTATACACAATGAATATTGGCGTAGTAGGTACCTTGCAAGCGCGCTTGCAGCAGCCACCCACACAGTATTAAAAAGCCTCTGAAAGGCCGCTCTTCTAGCATTCGCTGGGACAGTGATACTCGTTAAGGGTATAGGCCTGGCAGTTTTTTCTGCATGTCCGCCGACTAAGATCATAACTCGACTTGCCCAAGCGGTTGTATGTTTTGTTGTAGCTGATATACTGCTTGTTGAATCCTAATCACAATCGTCAGCCTGCCTACATTCACTGCAGAGCAAAAGATGACCATGCGTCACTCATTAACCCGGTCCTGTTCTTGCTTCGACCGCGTTCTTTCCACGCACACTTATTATTCATATCTGCCCATCCCACTGTCTGCTTTCTACTTGCGCGGTTGCCTTCTCGGGAGTGATTATCGGCTACCTTGTCTACATTCCTTGCTAAAGTAATTTTGCCTTTGTCAATTACGTTTCATATTTCCTCAGTATCCGTGTGTCTAAATAGAGTGTGCTTATCTATCATATCTATAGTTGTTTATACTGTAGCTTGCTTACGTCGCTTCAATGGCACGCTACTTATAGCCTGTTACTGCACTCATTCGTTTACGAATTGAGCTTATTTCCTCAATTGTGTTTAGGTTCTCGTTTCGCAACAAGGCATTTTGTGCCATATCTGGCATGAAATGCTCGGCTTTTTATAATTCTCGGCTGTAAATATGAACAAACATATGAAGAATTAACAAAAGTACTACAAATTACGAAAAATAAAAATAGTCACGCCTTATTGATTCCTACTACTGATTCTCATTTGCTGACCTCCTCCGCTAGTGGTGCGGGCAGGAATCGAATTGACCTGATGTTTCCCTTAACTATTTCGGGGTGCGACGTTTTTATTTTAGATACAGCCTCAATCGTTCACAAGAGGCGAAAGCCCATTTTGTAATTTAATTATCGTGCATATGTTTCGAGTGGCTGGTGAAATAGTTTCAACAAAATACTTTTGAGCAAAATGTTTAGAAATTTTCCCATTCTCACTAGCCTGCACGGAATAGAAATATGAGAATCGCCTCAAACATGCAACATCTTCGTCATCGTCATAGGATAGAAATATCGTGATCTATAATGTTCATAACGCTGCAGACATTCGGGATCACTTCATTAGAAAAATAGCTCACCAATAAAAAATTTAAAACACATGACGTGACGAAACCGCTGCATAAATGTGATATATGTATCTCCTTGTTCTGAATTTGTGATCCACGTGTAAGAGCAACTTCATTTTTTTTTAAAGGTCAACCCTTTCCACAAGGTTCCTGCCATTGATGACGAAGGATTTATTGTTTACGAAAGGTAAGTTCTTAAGTAGTCCGGCTTAAAGCTGGTTGTACGCTGTGAGGTTAAACACAAATAACATGAGCATTTGACTTACCTCTACTGCGTGTAGTGCCATGGAGCATGTAGTGCTAAGCACTTTCAATATGTTTCAGTGTAGCATGACAAAGCGTGAGAATTTACCTACTGTTGTATTCTGACAGTGATACTGCATATCTTATAGAACACGGGCACGGGTGGGTAGAATTGTTATCTGTAAGAAAGCGAAAGCAGCAAAAATTTAGTATTAATGTTGACTATCACGTGCCCAGTTCTCATCACCATGGTATGCATCTGTTGTCAGCAAACATGGGGTTCTATATTTGCACTATTGGTGTGGTCTTTCCAGCTCAAACTGCTGAAGACAGGCATGCGAGCTTTTTTTAGAATACGATTATGCTTGCTAAAATGTTGAATCAAACTACTCTTCTCAGACAATAGATGGCAAACCTTGAACAAGTGGCACGACATCTGTAAGCCTTTTAGGTTTTGCCGCTTACCAGTACTATTTAGATTGACGACCCAAATGCTCACAGAGTGATGCTGCAGAGTGAGAACCACGCAACGACTGAGCTCTCGAAAAACTTTCGCTTTGTTGTAACAGTTGCTACGAACTCACCAACTCTCAGACATTTGCTTTTAAGAACTCCACTCTTTCTCGGAAGCATGCGAATGCTTTGCAAGAAGAATTCCAGCATGCTCGCGAAGGGGTATCATTACAGCCAAAATATAGAAGGCACTGCCTGCGAAATTCATACGGTGCTCTGTCGGTAATATTGTGGCAGAATAAAGGCGTCAAGCAAAAAAACTTATGCTTCAAGACTCGTAATAAATTCAGTATGGAGCACTTCAAATACGTCATTTTCGCTGGTATTTCAGACTACACGTTCACGGAAATCTGAAAAGCTTGTCAATTGCAGGCAACTTTTGCACCACATGCCGAAATTATGGATCTCCGTCTTATGCGATCATACTCTTAGCTCTATCAGCACTTTTTCAGCATGGAAAAAGACGTCTCAATTTCTGCGAACTTTAAGGCACTCGATCTTGCTGTTTCTTCTGCAATAAAAGCCGGATGTTTGCCACTTTCTAGGAAGTATTGATTTCCAAAGCGATGTACTCGATCGTGCCAGACATGGTAGGTAGTACGCTGAACTAGAACAAGGCAACAGTTAGCTCTGACGAGCCGACAAAGAATACCTTAGCTCATCAACAAAAAGCAACCGTGACTGTGAATTCGGTGCCAGAACATGTTCAGTCGCGAGTGCTGCTCGCAGTCGTAAAGCTACCATACAAAATCATTTCCTTGCTGGCTGCAGTAAGAGGGCCCTTTACCAAGTAGTGTCCGACTTACTTTGCAAAGGGGTTACGACAGCTTAGGACACTGAAAATTTACGTCTTTATATTTTCCCAAGAGAAAATATGCACTACCGCTAAGTAGCAGTGACTTGTTTCTAGTCATGGAAAGGACCATAATTCTGCTTTCGCAGCATAGCAATTGCCTACTACCTGGTGCGCAAGTATGCCCCAAAGTCCGATCTCTACCCTGAAGACAGCAAGTCAAAGGCTCGCATAGACCAGACCCTGGCAGCACTTTCGGGCACTATCCATCCTCAGGCATCAGTATTCTTCGTAAGTGTCCTCCGTTTTCGTCAGCATATTGAAGCCAGGGTCTAGACAGTTTTTGAACATGCAAGAGAAATAGCTTGTGATATTGGTTGGCCAATTATCTACAATGTTGAAACATTCGTAGAATCAGTTAACCATATAACGAGTTTTCAAGGTTCCATCAGCGTTCAGCACGTTTCGACAACAAACGCATCGTTCTGAAGTGAGCCGGTGTACCGAAGCCTTCTTTACCCACGACTGCAATGCCACGCGGTGCACCTCACGTCGTTCAAAGGTCGTTGCTATTAACTACAGCTGAGTCATCAGCCAAGGACTAAATGAAATAAGTTCAAGTGCGTGGCCTCACTTCTGTAAAACTTGAGTCAAAATATATGGGCTGTAAACATGCAGGAACGGTACATTGTGATCCTTGCTTTAAAAATAAACGGATCAAGCTCGCGAAACTAGCGAGACATTACGAAGCCGTTCTACTGAGTATATTAGCCGAAATAGACTGAGTGTATCAATTCATAACCACACTAAAGAGTGATTTTGCTATCCCTGCCTCGTGAGCATAAGAGCGCATGCTCTAAAAGAAAAGCCGCACGCATAGCAGGTGGTTTTGAAAGAGCTTACACAATTTATCCATAACTATCACGAGTCGCTGAAGGATAGTGAATTAAGAATAACGATACATGTAGCCAAGCCTGTTACTGTAATCATGCAACATTATTCTCAACGCACCATCAATGACGTCGCACATCACCACTTATAATGGGAAAGTGCACGGTGGCTCGTGGTGCAATATCGGCCTTCTTTATTGATCCCTATAACTTTTTTCTGACAAGCTGTTGAAGTTGTGCAATGCCGTTGCAGCCAAGCATGTGCTTGTTTTCGTAAAAGTACTTTTGAAGATATTTGAATATAAGAAAGAGGGAGATTTGCGTATTCTTGCAGAGCTTCAGAACTGATAATCGGCGAAATTTTTGCTGCCGAGCCCACATATACTATTGATATTTGAGAAGATTGTAGCCACACCACTGGCTCAAAAGTTTCCTGCACGTCATCTCCAACAGGCCCTTCAAGTTTCACTATCGTTAGTATGTAAGCCACGGTGGTAACGACGAAAACTTACTCACTGTCATCTGACACCACGCAAGAGAATACACATATCTACTTATCAGAACATCCATACACTACACAATGATATGCGAAAACTAGGAAGAATACGCATCTGCTTGAAAGCGGATTCCTCACCTAATACAAAGGCAGAAGGAAGCTCGCGCCTAGCTTTTATATACGCTCAAAATCTTACTCTTATATATACAAGTCCGTGTGGGTGGGCTCATTGCTGATATTCTGTTGGTAGTAAACATTGCTGTGGCTTATCCTCTCACCCGAAAATTTTACTGTTTCACCACAAGGATGAAGCAATGATTGTCACAGCAAATAAGACCCATATACGAAGTAAGGCTAATGGTGGCTAACTGCTTCAGAAACCAATCTCGTATACTACAAAACGATGACGTAAAGGAATACGGCGGCTTCAAAGAGCGAAGCGATTTTCGTGCTGTCACGTCAGCGCAAAGTGAATGCCGGGAGCAGTGCACATATAAGTGCAGGATCTGTTTACCGATGTCCACTGGATCAAAGTTTTTATTTTATGCCCGAGCACCGCGACCTCCCATCTGCACCCTTTATTGATATTTCACTCGTCATGGGCAGGGACAGTTAGTTTGATGTCTACTGGAACCGTATACCCATAGGCACAGCTTTCGGAACCTTTTGATCACACGTGGAACGTGCTACGCTAAGGGTGATGTCCTAATTTCACACTTTTTGTGGAACGAGACAATGATGTGAAAAATTTGCAAGTAGTCTTCGTACAACTTGTATCGCAATAAAACATGCCTATAATTCAAAGCAGCTTCGCTGCAGCTGGAGCGCGCTGAAACCCACTGCTTTGACCAAGCTACTTTGTCGGTATTTACTGTCTAATGGGCTCTCGCATATTAAGTATTGAAGAGCAACAAGTCTGTGGTTTCGTGTTTTACATGTATATTTAGTGCCGATTTCAATTCCACCCGATTCCCTTTATTGAAAGAGGGAGTGCTTACAGCGTCAGAAAACTCACAATACACAATGGTAGTTCCGACGGAAATTAAGCACTTGCTTGTATAAGCCTGCGTACGGCGTTGGATGTCCTAGTCACTTAACAGAGAAGGCGCAATGTCAACCGCACAAATTGGCTTAATAGGATGGGAAGCACTGCGAGAAACCACCCTCTCCTGCTCAAGAACCCTGTACACACCTATAATATACCAGTACATGTTATCAGCCATATGACGTTACAACTTGAAAAATGTCGATGACGAAATGTTTAAGTGTTCACACGGCTTAATTTCTGCACAGCGACCTCGTTTTACTTAAAGACAAAGCCAACTGCCGAAGAAGTCACTGCCTACGAAGAAAACGTTGTCAAGGGTATCCAGCATCTTATCGGGGATGGCAAGTATGCGGTCGGCGACAAGCTCACTCTCGCTGACCTCGCCATCGTGTCGCACCTAACCCTCGCGCTCGAGGTAAGATGCGAAAATGAATGCCTTTAAATATTATAAACAGGAACCAACGAGCGCTTATAAATGCGATGGTGTTCTAGATTTGAGGCCCTTATTTACAAGTTAGCTAGGTGCTTTGAATCTGCGGAATGTTCTTGCTAAGATAGCTTGTTTGTTAAACTAATTTTCGCCATGACATTTTCCTAACATTGATGTAGCATTCATGCGCGAATAATTACTTGCAATTTCACTCTAGCCCTCGATACTTTGTAGCTTCTCGTGGTTTCTGAATACTCGTGATGCGCTGCAAGGTAAGGAAGAAAAAACAGAGACGACACAGAGTGATGCGCAAACTTACAAGTGACTACTAGTTTATTTTCATCGTGAACAGCTTTATGTACGGGAAAAAAGAAAATAGGGGAGGTGAATTCAGTGATAGAAGACAGAATAGGCAGAATGTAAGTTGCTAGCGATGTTTTCCGACGCAAAAGCTCTAGCGCGATCCTTTGATACGACAGAGATAGTTTACAGAAGCTTTTTGCATGCATAGCAGTGAAGCGTACGTTAGCACATTGATTGCTCTCTCTCTGAGGAAAAAAAAAATAGCTTTTGATTGCAAACCATGCCGCTGCGTATGTATCTCTCGATACGTTTCAGTGAAAATTGTTTAACGCCCAGATGTGTTTTTGATTTCCGTATTCTGTTTTCTCTCACTGCATGCTCTTCCCATCTTTTTCTTTTTGCATACACATAAGGCTGTTCACGATAAAAAGAATAGTCGCTAGTTTACGCATCAATTTGTGTCGTTCCTGTTTTTTTTTCTTACTCTGCAGCGCATCACAAGCGTGAAAATCCACCGACTAGCCTCTATTGCCCTCTTATTAGCAATTATTTTTATTGAAAATATGAACTTTCAAATTTTACATTGATTGAAAAAAATGACGTTCAGCACCTTTTATTCAAGCATATTTTACAATAGAGGAAATGTACAAACATTTTTCTGTGCTTGTTTGCTATACTTCCCTAGAATACGTGTCACGTAATCAGGAGAGATAGCTGGCCTAGTGGTAAAATAGGGCTATTGGGTATACAGTGAATATAGAGGTAGACAATGAAGGCAAGAACACACAGCACTAACACTGCATATCTACCAACTAGCCCAACTTTCTTTTCTGTTGCAGCAACCTTTTGTCCACAGTGCTTGATCTAGTGTAAAGCAGTGTCTTGTTACCTTCCTTGATTTGATTGATATGTGGCGTTTAACGTCCCAATTGTTACCTTCCTTGTTTAGGTCTTATTTGCCCTGCTTGATTGATGTTAGTTGAGTTTTCTGTGGATTGACGTATATAGTTCAAACTTCTAAGAAGATAGGCTGCACGCAAAAGACAATGGCACAGAAGACAGGGACGAGCACTAACTGATGTCTTGCGTTCATGGGGGGGGGGGGGGGGGAAGGGGTCGATTCTACGAAAAATGAAAAAATAAACGGGGAATACTTTATATTTCTGATTTCTTTTTTTTAATTTTGTATATGAAGCCGGTATGACCAAACAGTGCGAAATCTTATTTGATTTTCAAATAAGGAAAATCGCAACACATCCACAGAGTAAATGATGATGAGTAGGGCGAAACGTCCATCAGCCCGTCCATGCTTCTCGCGACCGTCAGTGCGTCCATCCATGCATCCATCCGTCCGTCTGCCCGTCCGTCTGCCCGTGCGTCCGTCCATCCATCTCTTCCTGCCTCCATCCGTCCGTAGGTCCATCCATCCGTCCGTCCATCTGCTAGTCTGTCTGTCCATTCATCCGTGCGTCCTGGGTCACCGGTGGCTGCTTACTACTACTACTACTACTACTACTACTACTACTACTACTACTACTACTACTACTACTACTACTACTACTACTACATACATTGGAGGATATTCAGACCCAAGCCTTAAGGAGCTTCGCCCCTAAAATATTTTTCGTCAAGAAAAAGTTGAGAAGCATCGCTGGTTCATGAACGCCATTTTAAAAGAGCATGTTCTCGTAAATTCGCGATCGAGCTAACAGCTACCGAAGCTATATATCAAAAATATCTTTTACGTAGCACAAACAGAAGTAAAGCACGTAGAACTAGTTCACTTGACTTTTTCAATTCTTGTGCCCTTGCATATTTTTTATGAATTCTGAAAAAAACACTGTGTTTTGGAATTTTCTTCGTTGTTGGGACGCATCTTCTGCTTATTTCTGCTTAAAGGTAAATAACATGACTTTCTCAATTACAATCTCAAATCATGGCTTCGAGCGACTTAAGATGCCTGCCATTACATAAAAATCAACTGTGAAGACAGCGAGTAAATATCACATTTTCCTGTTTTTTTTTAAGGAATTGGGCACATTTGTTGAAACAGCCTGTATATTTTCGCGTTTTCTATCTAATTAACAATAAGCTCTTAGACACTCTTCTGTTACCACTTGTTTACTCGCCCATGTTTCATTTGTGCAGGCCATCAGGGGTGAGAAGAAGAAAAGGGAGGATGAGAGATTGTAAAACATGACACTGTCTTGCGTCACAGCTTGGTCGCAAAAGCGAAAAAATAATTGTGACAGCAACAAACTGGATTTTCCCGAGGAGAATGAAAAGCAAATAAAAACGTGCCCCTACGTTTCGCACGCACAAATCACGCACAAAACGTACTCATAAGTACAGATACACGCGAATAATTGCCTCAGTTGCTCCTTTGCTGCGTCTGAAAAGCGCGCTTTTCGCAAACGGAAACTACAATGGTTGCAGTGACTAAATGCGCCTGGCAACTACGACAGAATCGTTCCAGGTTAAGGCCGAGGCCAGCAAAGACGTACGCTCCTCTCCTTCTCTCTACCGCGAGATAAGGGCGCGCGAGGGAGCATCGCTCCCCTTCTCAGAGTGCAGAAAAGTACGCCTGGGAGATTAGAGCGCGACACGTGCTTCCTGAGCAATCTTGCTGGCAATTCTGAAAACAAAATAATCGACGTCGACGCTGACGCCGGCAGCGAAATCCAGCCGAGAGTGTTCATATACTTGCTATCGCAATAAAAGAGTGGGAAGAGAAGTGAGGGAACGGAGTTAAAAAGAAAAGTAGTGCTACAAGCTCCACAGTTTTCTGGGTCCTCGCATATGATGCGCGTATCTGCAAAAATTTCCTTTTTGCTCTAAATATAATATCTTATGAAGTAATGAAAATGCCTCTTCATTAGCGCGAGCAAGAATCTACTTATGCATATTTCACATACATTCATCTTAGTCTCCGATGTACTATACTTCGGGATACAGACCTAAATATTCTGCTCGCCAGAATACAAAGTACGGTAACAATTTTCTGAGGAACTGGTAATATTGCCTGGGATGGCAGTCAGTGCTCACCTTTTTTACTTTTTCGTAGTGCCGTTCTGTTTTGTCTTATTATCGCCATGAATTTCGTACGCTTTCTCTTTCCTCGGTTTTTGAAGTGGTAAAACAGAAAAAAATGCTAAATCACTGTTATCGACCAATAAACTACTTTGTATCGTTCAACGTATTAAGAGCTGGCACTTCTTGTTTGCAGATCGACTGCATCGACCACGCCAAGTTCCCGAAGCTGGCTAGCTACTATGAACGCATGGAATCGGAGCTCCCTTACTTCGAGGAGATTTACAGGCCTACCATTGGCTTCGTCAAGCAGCACTGGGCTTCTCTGCAATGAGTGTGCCCTAAGCACCTTATCCTGTGTCGGGGAAAACCGAGAAAATTCTTCTTCTGAACACAATGCTCACATAGACGCCAGCATGGCTTGAACGCTTCAATCAGCCTTGATATTTTTTTTTTTTGATGGTGTGCCAAGGCTATTTTTTTAAATGGTTTATTTTGCTAAAAGTTACGTTATAGAGAGGAGTTCTTGGGGTTTCTCACTAGACAATAATAAATTGTTGTTATACTGTTTCTCTTAAAAGAATGTAAAGAATTATGCCATGTATTATCAGAATTTGGCACAGTGGGCACATATAGATCTTTTATTTAAAATCACATGAACACCTGATATTTTCTGACGTGCAGCTTGAGCCATACAAATACTTTGAGCCAGAATCTAGGTTCAGCTTGAACAAATAAATATTACTTTGCCGGTCAGTTGCATGTCGAGATAACGTTCATTTAAGTGTTTGCTACTGGGTGTGTTAAAATCGCCATTGTGATCTGGCGGTTACGGCGCTCCGTTGATCACCCGCTCGTCGCGACATCTCATTACCGCCATAGGGGACAGATTTTTCATGGAGGCGAAAAAGCTCCGAGGCCCATATGCTTCGTTTTAAGCGTACGTTGAAAACCACTAGATGGTCGAAATTCTCGGAGCCGTCAACTATGGCGTTACTCATAGTCAAGACATTGTTTTCGGACGTTAAACCCCAATGCTCGTTAAGGGTGTCTCGAGCCTACGAAGTCATAGATGTGTAAAGACTGATAAACGTTAATCCTGAAACTTTAAGCAAACGTAATGAGTCATCAAAACGGACACGTAGCTTTGCACTGGCCTTACTGCTACCTTATACTCTCTGGTTACCGAAACGGCTTCGATGTTCAGTCAACCCTCCTACGTCTTCCCCTCCCCCTCCCCACTTCTTCCGCTTGTTTTTCACAGAATACCCCTTTCCTTTTACTAACAAAAGTTGTCACGGCGGCCCCTTCCCTTACGCACCCAGTGTTCTCAATTGTCTGTGTGCACGCAGGTGTGTGCGTTTGTGAGTGAGCGTGTGTGTGTGCGTGTGTTTGTGTGTGCGCACGTGTATGTGTTTTGTGTGCGTGTATTTGTGTGTGTGTTTCTCTGTTTGTGCGTGCGCACGTGTGTGCATGTGTATTTGTGTATGTGCGTCTGTGTGTGTGTTTGTGAGTACGCATGTTGTTTGTGTGTGCTTGTGTTCATGTCTGTACGCGTCCATGTGTGTATGTGTGTGTCTTTGTGCGTGTGTGCATGCGCACGTGTGTGTTTGTGTGACTGTGTGTGCACGTGTGAATATGTGTGTGTGTGCGCGCGCGTGTGTGTGTTTGTGTAAGTGTGTGTGTGTGTGCTTTTGTGGGTGTGTTTGCACATGTTTTTCTGTGTGAGTGTGTGTTTGCTTGTATTTTTTCTGAGTGTGTGTGCACGTGATTGTGTTTGCGATTGTGTGAAAGTTCACGCATGTGCCAACTTACGTGGGTGTGTGCGCTCATACAACTTCAAGTACGGACATAGATGTGTGGTAAAACATCTTTTTCCACGGAGGGAGGAGTTTTGGGCTACAATCGCTCTCAGACCGAATTTAAGATCTTTAAATTGGTCTTTTATTTGCAGCTATCTTGCATTTTCGCTGAAAGACAATACTCATTTTTATTCCCAACTTACGGTGAATAGGACACCTACAATTTCAGCGAACCAAGCTCTGTTACGCTATAGAGTTAATATGTTCCTAGGAATGTATATTGTGGATGTGAAATTCCTTGATGCGCTAGTGTGGTTCGATGCCTGAATAAAGGTTTGAAGATCCACAGCTGAAAAAAAAAACTTGTTTTGAGGCAGCTTCACAATATTAATTTGCCAAAAAAAACAGTGGTCGATTCGAGGTAATGATTGCTGCGTGATGAATTCCTGTGGTCATACGTAGATGTAGCACAGCTAAAGCTGTACTTGGAGGTTCTATGGTATTTTACTCCCTGTCAATTATTTCGTATGCTATTTTACTATTTTACTTTAGTACGAAGAATTGTAGCCTGATCACTTTCTTGTATTTGTTAATCTATCCTATTGCACCCCGCCGTTGTGGTCTAGTGACAAAAGTACCCAGCTGTTGACCCTCAGTTTGCAGGATTGAATCCCGACTGCGGTGGTGTCCATTTTGATGGAGGCGAAAATGCTGTTGGCCTGTGTGCTCAGATATGGGTGCACGTTAAAGAACTCCAGGTGGTCGAAATTTCCGGTGCCCTCCGCTACGGCGTCTCTCATAATCACATGCTGGTTTTGGGACGTTGAACCTCACATATCAATCAATGTTTCCTATTACTTGCATACAAACGTTTTTACATGCCAACGTTGTCCCCAAGCTACACACCGTTTCAGGCGACCCTGACAGTGCTGCGAAGAAGAATTCAGTGTGTGTTGGGGAATCACTAGTCAGATATATTATTAATCAAATTTTACGATATGGTAAATCTTAGGTAGCCGTTTGTGGTAGCATACAGGACATGGTGGGAACGACTCGTTTATTTGTTGATAAAAGCACGCAGTTGGAAAACTTCGTCGTATTCAGAAAAACATTGGTAGATGCATGCGACTAATGAATGCCATATTTTTGATGAAAATCCATATCGTTTTGAAAGAACCTCTAGTCATGGTATGCCCCTCGGCGACATGCATTATTCAAATACAGTCTAACGCAACGATCTTGCACGCTATGACAAATTATTCTAGCAGGAATGCTTTCTTCTCCACTAAAATAAAACGCTGCAAGGCTGCGCTGCCACTGCATTCAACTCTCAAGTGCTGAGTAGGGACACCTTCATAAAGACAAAAATAAACTCGGTGTCATGCTTACGTGTATTGTGATTCAATGTATTTTATAGGAAGCATATATTTTATACTTATTGCAGTGGGCAAAATATGTCTAGTCTATTTAGCACTGCTAATACTTTAGCACTCACGGGATCGAGTAAACACCACTTGTATTTATTTCAAGTTTGCTTTAACACAGACGGACCAAGACAAATAGTGTCATTCACTTGTTTGTGTTTTTATCTTTTTTGTGCGTTGATTGTGATGATCCAAGACAAATATTATTTTCTAGTTATAACGTCAATGATTAACGCGAGCGTAATTAAGGCACGCAAACATTCATTTGAAATACGTGTGGAAGCTATGCTCACATACTGCCGTGCATCTAAATTAAAATTATTTGAAATGTGGTCTATTTGATTTATGCTAATAAATAATATCAGGTGCTCCATATTCAAGCTTATGTAGTTTCATGAAGTCACATGACGACAACTTCATAGTTGTTGCGTCAGTGGGAAGCATCCTTGCATGGTAGAGTTTCTTCCAGTACAGTATATCTAAATAAGAAATGTCATCGCGTGAAAAAAAAATTATTGATAACATGCAGTGTAGCCAGCACATTCGTGAGTGATGTGCGTTCACGTTCGATCACCCGGCGAAATCCGACTGTGGTTTAAATTTCAGGGCGATATAGATTTTTCGGCAGAGCATGTCACTCTTACGATGAGATGACGAAGTAACGTTATCATTATATTTAGCCTTCAGTGCACTGTCGTAGAAACGTCAACTGTACTAGTTGATGGTTCTCAAACATCTTGAAACAGGAAGCAATAGCTGCATGGACACGAGAAGTGGTCGCCGCCTGCATCAACGGCTTCAAACATTAAAAAAAAGGGCAGCCATCATTGAGATTAGAGAGTAGAATAGTTGTGAGCGGCAAATTAGCACCTCCTGCATCATTTTACATGACAGCGAGTTGATATTTTTTGGACACTTGGTTGCTGAACTAAAAATGCCAAGCCTGCAGTGGAAGGCACACTACCGTCTCAGCGAAATCTAGAAACGCGGCCTTTCAAAGGCTTTTCAAAACACACATTGGGTAACTACTGCAAGCACACTTGCTTCATACCTACTAGGAAATTAATAATAAATTTCTGCGTAGTAAGCTGGCATTCGCTACGCTATTTTTCGTTATTCTTCTGAGAAGCGTCGTATACGTTAATTACTAGCAAAGAATTTCAAGCGAATTGTTCATGCAGTGGCTGACGACGATGAGCAATTATGGCTGAAGTGGGTATGTGCCACAGCTAATAGGGGAACAAGAACAAGTTTTTGTAATGTGTTGAAGCCTTACACCGTCCTCTTGTTACGCTATTAGCATTGTGCAATGACTGGTTGTTCTTTCGCTGTTTTAAAGCGCTTTATAAGTCATATTAACGCGATTGCTTTCTCGACATTGAACATGCCTAAGGCAAGTTTGCCGATAAGTCACAAGTACGAGCGTAGCTCAGTGGTAGAATACTAGGCTGGCAGTCAGCAGACCCGGGTTCAAGCCCCACTTTGGTGCTAGGTTTTCGCTATAACTTCGTGCGATGTGTTTACGGACACCGTCAGTGGCGGCGGCGGCGGCGGTCAACTGCGTGTGATCTCATAAGAGCTTTCGCTATAAACTTTTGCGTAGATGCGCAAGGGGGCGGAAAGGGAGGGCAACACATGTTATCTTGGATTCATGATGGCTGTTTATTACCGTCGTCTTTTGTGAAACTGCTCCCATCTAGGTTACTTAAATGTACGACCTCCTTGTCCTGCCCTCCTCCTCCTCCTTGACTTTAGGTCTATAGATTCATATAAATATCATTTGCAAGTCAGCGTTGCAGTGCGCACTAAATTTCTCTGGTGTTCATGTCCTTTTCTCGCCGTGTTTCAAACCGTTCAACGCAGGCTGCACCTATATGAGTACATATTGCAGACCTATTGAAAAAAATGAGGATTTAAGGCCTAATATTACTTCGTTAGACAAAACACGGGAAAAAAAATAGAGCGACAATCAAGGCCAGCGAAGTTATTTGTAATAACTTTGGTGTAAATTTAAAGAATTTAAAGCGGATGAATAGGTAACTTCTGTCTGCAGGAACTAAACTTGCCACCTCTCAATAGCACATCCACTGCTCCACAAGCTATGGCGGTGGTACTCCTGCAGATGTTAGTTCCCAATGGTGTAAAGGCTTTAATTCAAAATGTAGATCTTGGTCTGGCAGGCTTCATGGCTTCAGGTAGTATGGGGAGAATTATTTGTCAGCTACCAGTTCGTGAAACTATCCCGCACTCCGTGACGGCGGCAGTCAGAAACAAAATGGTTTCATACTCACCATCATGGCTACAAGTGGCACTGATTAACACTTCTACATTTAGGCTTCGCAGATATAGCCCATAAAGTGGACGACAGGATGAGTGCGGGTTTAGCTCAATAAGCAGAGCCTCGGAAACGTTATTGAAAGGCTGAAGGGTCGCTCTTTGCTAGCGGGAAGCTGTGTTTTTAACCCAGTTTCTTCCCTCATGTT